TCCTTGCTTTCTTTTTAAAAGATGTTTTTAACAAGAGACTCTAGCTGCCTCTATGGTAACAAAAGGATTGGTGTCTATGCAGATTAGCACATACATAGGTTTTTCTCTTGCCTATAACCAAACAAGGGATAACTGTCACCAGCTTCCTCACTGCTATTTCTTCATCGCAGTGACAATGCACTGCCCCTGATAAGTATTCAGCCACAGCGTGTCTGCTCTGAAAAACAAAGCTGCTCTCCCACCTCCTCTGTAAATGATTTGAGGAGGTTTACACCTCCGTCTGAACATCTGTGGATACAATTCCACCCCCACACGCTCACACTCCACGTTTGCAAATGCAGGAACTTGGGTTGAAGCACAGCACGGTCCTGCAGTGAATCCAAGTCCCTAGACTTTTATGCCCTACATACTCTGTGGAATTTCCACCCCGCATACAAAATTATTCATGACAGAAACACGGAAGGACCACCTTCCCCCTTCCTCTGTGTGAATACCAATGGGAAAAATAGCAAGGGGGTTTCTTTCCCTCCCTGATCACAGGGAGAGAAAAGGAAATTTAAAAACAACATATATGGGGGAAGGGGAGGGAGAGTCACTGCAAAATGTTGAAGACCAGGGGTGTGAGCACTACTTATATTAACATCTTCCATCCCTGGAGCTGCAGTAATTTGCATGACATTATCTACCTGGGATGTTGCTATGGTTATCACCATACATAAGTAATTACCAGGGCAAATTGCACATACGGCGCACAGATTCCTGCTGTCAGAAGCAAAGGGTTTTTTTATACTCTTGAAAATGTAAATGTTTGAAAAAAAAAAAAAAAAAAAACGCTAATCACAATGATTCCTGATGAGAGGAAAAAGTTTAAGACTTCTCCCAAATGGTCTAAAATGATTGTTAAGCATGCTTATTGGCAACAGTGCCCCGAGGCACAGCTCAGACTATCCCTAAGTGAGGTGGACACAGCACAGACTCAGTAGAAAACCAACAGAACTCATAAAAACAGTAGAAATGGTAACTAGAAGCAGCAATAGTAACAGCACCAGTAACCAGAAATTAATCAGTAGAAATACTAGAAAATCCTTGCCTGAAGAGTTTACAGTGCAATTTGATGAGACTGGTAGAGGACAACAGAAGTCGGATATCACACAGAACAAACGAGGTTGTCAGCATCGTGGCATTCCATGGTCATTTGGGGTAGATGTCATCTAATTCTAGATCACTCAAAATAAACCAGGTATCAGCCCATTCTGAAATACTGCTGCAATTACATTGCCAGTAAAATGCAGCACTGCTGTCAGTGGCAAATTTTCAGCAGCATCGATGAGCGTGTTCTGTGGCCTTTGGAAAGTAAAAAGTTTTAAAAAACAGTTCTGCTGCTGCGATCGGAGTTCACGCAGAGCACATTAGGCTAAATGTAAAGCACGGATCTGTAAAACACAAAATAAATTTCTCTAATTTAATGTGAGGTGACATACATCGTTGGCTTGCATCTATCCGAACCAATCACACGTTCTGTGTACAGAGGAATACTATAATTTAGTTACTACGAATTTACAGGGAGCGGTAGAGTTGAGGAAAAAAATATATATATTGTATTTTCATTTTCTAGCTTCTCAGAAAAACGAGTTGTTCTTTTGCTTACCTTAGAAAAAGCATGTTTCTCCCAGATATTTATCTTTACCTCCTATTAATATTAGCAGAATTGTCATCAAAAATCACCATGCTCTCTAACTGAGCCACAGGTTAAACTTTTCAGAGCTGAAATAGTCTCTGCTCCTGGATCTAGCCTCTCACAGCTCTCAATGGGCATCCTGCCACCCCAGCCCTGACAATGGCTCCTCTGCACTCACCCACAGCAAGTTAAGCTTATTTGTGTTCCAGATTCCAGCCCCAGCACGCCATCATCCCCTAATAACAAAGTGCCACCATGAATGCCTGGATTGCTGAGTTAAATCCACTGTCTCATTTCTTCAGGTTGCCTCAGGGGACTGTCAACCACAGCCAACAGGACGCTGAGATGTATTTGATCGGATGACAAGAAAACCACTAAGTGCTTCAGAACTTCGACATATTTACTTTGGGATCTCCAAGTAAATGGGGCCAGGCTCCATCAGGCACCACGTATGAGCAGGAAATAAACTGATTTTGCAAGGGCAGAAGTAAAAGGTATCAGCTCTGGGAATCAGCCAGGATGAGAGTCTTTGCATGATGGCTAACGGAGCTACACAGGTCACAAAAAATTAGATCAGGTAGAAGATTTAAAGCAGTTTTGGAGACTGGCTCTTTAACTGAAGATGTATTTGCACTCTATGAGCTGTTAGGTACTCCATCGCTCTTACTTCTATCAGTCTTTAGGCCTGAGTTGGATTCTAGTTTTAGTGCAGACTTCAAATGTCAGTAAGAATATACAGTGGTCTTTTCTTTGAAAGCTACATTCTGATGCCATCAAGTATAATGACAAGGCAAGAATCAAAAACGATATGGAGAGATGATGTGCTTTGAGAAGAGGATTGCTACTGAAAGCATAGGAACAGGTATTAGCCAGCAGGCAGACAGAAAACATGGCATGCCCTTGGGCTCATCACATGGCCTGAGGAAAGGCACTACTAGCGATGCCCAGAAATACTGACCAAAGATGTCAGCATACCCTTATCAGGGCAAATGCAGACTGAAGATATAGAACAAGTCATTTTTGTTGTGGTCTGGGTAAATGGAGCCATAGGACAAGCATATTGTAGCTTGGAGTACAATTCAACAGTTTATTGAAAGTGAATACATCAGCGAAAGTAAATATGTGAAGAGTGAAATGTAAGATGGAAAAAGTGAGATAAATATTGTTAGATTCAGGGGAAAAACGTTATAAACAGCAAGCAAAGCTCTTTGATTTGCACTGTTTTCCAGCCCATAAAACCCTAATATCTGCCAGTGTTTCATTAAAAGCTTATAAACTACCCAGCATGCCTGCTGCTGCTGCATAAATAAATTGCTAAAAACACATTTTCAGTGTTGCAGACCTTGTATTCAAAGAAACCCGGTGTGTAGAAAGCTCAGCCACGTGACTGAAAGAAGCATGGACCACAAAAATAGCCCCTTAAACTCTAACCGTAATTAATGTTGATCATTCAGTAGTGGTCAGTTTCTCTGAGCTGAGATGCTCATAGTGACACTTTTAAAACAGAAAATACCAGTATCCCAGGGAAAATTACTCAGAAAAAAAAAAGTGTTATGACTTAAGACTGCAGAAGAAAGCTTCCACCATTCTCTGATTTGTGTACAGTTAATAGAAGGAACAACTTTTCAGAGAGGAGTGAGAGTTTCAGGTGTTTGATGATGCCACGACAGCCCTACAGCAAAATCAAAGTTAAACTGAGCAGTACAAACATCTGGGAACACCGAGGCTGAGAGGATCAACCACTGCTTTGACTGAACATAAAGCCCTGTCTGCTCTATCTGTTCTCAGCATTAAAAACCAAGGCTGCAGCCCTCCAAGGGCAGTAATCACGTCTTTCATTTTCCACAAAAAGTCACTCTGGATCAGTCAGGTTTTCTTTGTAACTTCCAATGGTCCCAAAACAAGTCTGAGAAGGATCAGAACGTTCATGAATTCCTGTCTTTCATAAGATTATGGCATATCAAGGCTCAGACTTGAGTCCACATACAGGGTAAAATTAAAATGGTCCAATGGACAGAACGTAAATCCCTGAGGCAAAGCTTCCCAATGTCTGGAGGCTTTCAGATGAATGACCACAAACACACTCAGCCCATTCCGCGCTGAGCTGCTGCAGCGCTTCTCACAGAAGTAGCTCCAAATTGTTCTGACAATCAGAACGTACACAGTCATTTCCCCCCTCCCTCAAGTAACTTCTCATTGCTCTGCTAAGATCAGACCACAAGCTACAGCATCACTGATGAGCAAGCAGCAAGACAGACCTGCTACCCATGCAGTGGCTTACCTCTTGACTAGCACCACGTGGATCAAGAAGGTAAGAAATCAGTGCAGAGAACTGCTGGAAGATTGGAAAGGGGAGCCACATCCGAATCATTGCACAAGTCTGAAATTCCAGAAGATGTTAATGACAACTATTTGTTTTCCTTGCACTACCTGTAAAACAATACACGTGTTGCATCGCGCTGGCTTTATAAACCCAAATGTCAGTTACTCCAATGCAAAACCTCTGCTTGTACAATCCTGAGCCAACTCAACTGTAATTTAAGGAAAAAGCAATTTATTTATTTATTTTTTTTAATGCTGAGCAGTTTTCAGGATCCCAAGTTTCTTTCTGTTACAGGGATGTGTGATTAACATCCTTTAGGACGGTGCTGGCAACCTTGTTTCTTCTCCTACATATTGTTGGGGCATTAATTTGGTGTTACATGACATAGTTATGCTTGTTTGCTTACCTACTGTTGCTCGTCTCAAATAGCAAATTATCCTATTTTTGTCCTTTCTAAACCAGCGTAGGGATGACAGCAGGACCCATAAGCCTAACACATGGGATGGCCAGACTGTACAGACCGAGAAACAGACAACAGAGGAGCTTTAACATTTAAGCGAGCTGCTGCTTCGTGCCGACTCGTTCCTCTGTCAAGAGAGCAAGCTGAGAACGCGCTGTGACTTCTCTAATTTGTTTCCCCGAGTTCCCTCGGTGAACCTTTCGCCTTAAAGCAGGAAAAAAGGCAATCACTGATCGCTCCCCAGGTGTAAAAGCACGGACAAACTTCGGTGAGCCCGCTGCAGCTGTCAGGCAGGCACAGGTGGGCAAGGAGCCGAGGAGAAACAGCCGAGCGCAGCAGGACCGGAGGCCGGCTCAGCGCCGGACCGCCCCGAGCCCCGCCGCTCCGCCCGCACCGCCCTGCAGACGTGGCGCCGCCGGGCCGGGACGCGCTGGCGGGCGGCCGCCGCCCAATCGCGAGCGGCGGAACGGCGGGGGAGGAGCGGGGCCGGGCGCGATGAGCGGCGGCGGGCCGCGGCGCGGTGCTGGCGGCGGGACGGAGGGCGGCCGGCGGGGTATGGGCGGCGGGGTGGGGCGCTGCCCGGCGGCGGTGCTGCTGCTGCTGGCGCTGTTAGCGCTGCCGGGCGGGCTGGGCAAGCCGACGGCGTGGCAGGAGCGGGCGCGGCCCGGAGCGGCGCAGCAGCACGAGGACGCGCCGGGATTCCAGTACGACCACGAGGCCTTCCTGGGCAAGGAGGAGGCGCGGAGCTTCGACCAGCTCAGCCCGGAGGAGAGTCAGGAGCGGCTGGGGTGAGCGGACGGGCGGCGGAATTGGGGCAGGGCAGCGGGGGGCTGCGGGGCTGCGGCGTGACCGGCTGCCTCACTTCTGTATCCCTTCTCTCCCTTAGCTCTGCCGTTCCGTGAATCAGGCTGAACCCATTTCTTCTCTTGCCTTCGTCACAATTCCTTCTGTTTCCCAGGCCGTTAAACCAGCTCCCCGCAACTTCTCTGCTCGGGACAACTTTGCTCGGTCTTGTTCTTACTTCCGTGCATCAGCTGCTTTAATTTACTGCTTCTCTGTCCTTCTGTGAGAAGGCACACTGCTAATTAGAACTAAGCTTCACAGTAGTTACAGAAAGATCTTTGCAATCACTAAGCAGAGAATAGTCGGAAAAAATAGTCAAGTTCTTTGCTATGAGAGTGGTGAGGTGCTGGAACAGCTGCCCAGAGAGGCTGTGGATGCTCATCCATCCCTGGAGGTGTTCAAGGCCAGGCTGGATGGGGCCCTGGGCAGCCTGGGCTGCTGTGAAATGTGAAGGTTGGTGTCCCTGTGTGTGGCAAGGGGTTGGAGATTCACGATCTTTGAGGTCCCTTCCAACCCTGGCAATTCTGTGATTCTGTGAAAACGTCTGTATGTTCTCACTAAGATGAGCTGTGCCCTTCCACAGGGAGCAGTACTGAAGCATGGCGTGTCTGTCTGATGCCACATAATGGTGCCGTTGGCTCAGCGTGGCCTCCTGCTCCTTGTGCAAGCTGTCAGCATGGACCTGCATCTCAGGAAGCACGGAGCACAAATGACCAGTTTAATCGAGATTGTTTGAAAAGCAAGCAAAAGAAATCATCTCAGCATACACGTTTGTGACTTACATAAAGTGTGTCACTAAACAAGGGTGTGGGTTACTTAAATTAGGCCTTCATTTTTTCAGCTGTGGGTGTGAACCACGTGCAAACGGTGAATGTTCACAGGACTCACCCCAGCCTAGCATTGATCTGCTGGAAAGCCACAGAAGGAACTGCAGGGGTCCACAAAACCCAACGCTTTTGTCCTTGTGGCCTCTGCTAAGCATCTGATACGTGCTTGTATTGTGGTTGTTTTCCTATTCTAAGTCCATTATAACTCTCCCTGCGGCCTGTGAGCAGGTCCCCCAAAGTCAGAATCTAGACAATCTAGTAGCTTTGAGACTCCAGGTTCCACTTCAGTTATTTGTAGCAATGTTGAATAATGACTAGAGAAATGGTAAGATAATCTTCAAAATGCAATAAAGCTTCAGCCAGGACAGCTTTTCCACTAAAGCGTAATGCCCCAAACCAGGACGAGGTAAAGATAATGAGGTAGGTCTGACATCCGGTTTGTTTTTCTGCCCGCCCTTAATGGATACCGCTCTCTTTTTACAGGAAGATTGTGGATAGAATAGATGAAAACAAAGATGGCTATCTCACAACAGAGGAGCTGAAAAACTGGATTAAACGGGTACAGAAACGCTATATCTATGAAAACGTCGCTAAAGTCTGGAAAGACTATGATACAAACAAGGACAATAAGATCACCTGGGAAGAGTACAAACAAGCTACCTATGGCTATTATCTAGGTGAGACATCATCAGATTATATGCTCAGTGACAGCTGAGGTTATGAGGCACCTTGTAGCCAAGCTGACTTTGGTATCGCAGGGCTTTGGGAAATTGCCTAAAGATGCTCAGAGGTTGAAAGCACTGCTTGTGTCTTTATTGCAGCCGTTTCCATGTGGGTCACCACTACACAGAATGTTTTGTAGAGGGCTTTATTGGGTGTACTGACAAAGCTGAATTGAAGTCTCCTGACTGCAGTTAGAAATGTGTTATTTTTTAACATTAAAAATGGTGCTTACATTCAAAAACACAATTAATGAATGTTTGTTAATTGAATCTCACTTAAATTTGTGAGAGTGTAAATGGTAAAAATTCTGGCTGGGTATAAACTATAGCAAAGATATATATATATATATATATATAGATAGATAGATAGATATAGATATAGATATATAATAAAACAGTGCTGAGAGAACAACAAATGGATATTAATTGGCCACGAGTGCATTTATACTGGAAATAAGAAGATAGTGTCTTAACACCATATATGCAGTTTCTGGAGCAATAGGAAGCAATCATAAGTAGAAGGTTTGATTGCTTTTTAGAACCAAGGAGTTGTGTACATTATAGTGATTCCTAAAAGGAAAAAAAACTTCTGCAAATGAAATCTGCTCTGAATACTTCCTAAGCAAAACTTATGAAGGCAGATTAAAAAAATTCATCTACCAAATGTAATATATGATGCTGCAGAAGCAGGCTGGATGTGGCTCTGGGCAGCCTGGCCTAGTGGCTGGCAACCCTGCCCATGGCAGGGGGCTTGAAACTAGGTGATCACTGTGGTCCTTTTCAACCCTGGCCATTCAATGATTCTATGAAAAGCCTGGATTCCAATGGGAGACTTACTTGGCCATTGACTTACACTATTAAGTCACCTATAAAATCAAAGAGTTTGACCCTGCAGTTCCTTAGGAAAGAGAAATTCCAGTTTAACACAGCAGCTGTTCTAGCAATGAGCTTTTGTATTTCTAGATTCAGTGTATATATCAGTAAATCAGGAGAATTTGTTGTTCCTTGTGAAATGCACTATCACATAGTTTTGTGATTGTCTTGATTAATTGGCAGAAAATCCAGAAGAATTCCAAGATGCAACAGATCGACACAGTTTTAAGAAAATGCTGCCCAGAGATGAAAGGCGATTCAAAACTGCAGATCTGGATGGAGACTCAGCTGCCACTCGTGAAGAATTCACTGCTTTCCTTCACCCAGAGGAATTTGAGCACATGAAAAACATCGTTGTCTTAGTAAGCAGTGCAAAACCAATGACACTATTTTTACTTCGCTTAATGGCCAACTGGGGAACAGAAAGGGATAAATTCTTGAAATTTACTTTAGATTTAGAGCTTTCAGTACAGGGAAGACTAAACAAGAGCACTTAGACTGCTCTTAAATTGAAACCATTTTCGTATGGCTGTGTACCAATATAGAGGAAAAGGTATGCTGACGTGAGGCTGTCAAAGACAAAGTGTTCGGTGCTGACTTGTAATTGCACTTAGCTTAAAACATAAGCGTGATGTCCAGGTCAGGGCTGGAGTGCAGAATGACTTGAGGAGGGGAATAGCCAGAATTCTGTTTTCTCTTGATTACTTCAGTGCAAAACTATTTTCCAGGAAACGTTAGAAGACATAGACAAAAATGAGGATGGCTTTGTGGATCAGGATGAGTACATCGGTAAGTCTGTTTCTTACAAAGTGTCCATTTGTCCATCTTCTCTCAAAGCTGCAACCAAGAGGAATGTTTCTCTGCTTCCAAGTCGCCTGTTTTTCCTAAATATTCTCCTGCATTATTTAGGAGGTAAACCCACTTACTTTTATAAGGACTTTTTGCAGCAGTCTTTGTTTCTTATAGAAATACAAGACGATGCATTAAGAACGAACTGTATAGAAATAGAAGTGAGATTTAGGGTTCTCAAGAAATTGTGATGTGAAAAATAACTGTGCATTACTTAATGTTTCCAATTGTGTTCTCTGTCACTTAACAGCAGATCAGTCACAGTTAATTTGCACAAACTTAAGTCACTCTGTGCATTTAGCTGCTGTCTTGTGCTGAGATATACGAAAACAAAATGGACTAGAGATCAGCTATACATAATACATTTTACCCTTTTGAATAATTTTGCTGATTCCAAAAGCTAACCTCACCCTCTTCACTCACTTTGATGGGTTTTAAATCAAGAAAGTAGTACCAGGAAAGCTATAAAGATCACTTCTCATATAATCAGGAACAGTATACACATGTTAATTAATGGCAGGGGGTTTCTTTGCCTTGTAAATTATATTTAGCCTCAGAATGTGAGTGCTATTCATTTATGACTGAAATAACAGGGCAGCATAATTTCCACAGTAATTTCAGTTCATTCAGTGACATTACCTACATATAATTATAAGGTAATTGTCAACATTTGTTACCATTGCAAATGCTGTTTTTTCTGTCTTCTAGGATAGAAAGCATAGAATGTTCTAGTCACAATCACCCCACGTTGGCAAGGATGATAAAAATCAAATTGACAGGACATCAGATGCTTCAAATAAACAATATAATTTGCTCTTTAAAAATGCAGAAAAAGAAAGTGGATGTGTTGTCTGAAGTTTTCTTTATGAGCTGAGGAAAATTGCTTAAAATATTCCTATACCCCTTTTTCAGATATAATTACATTTTGTTATTGATCAAGCTGGGGTAAAAACAACCAAATCACTTCTTTGATTAGGAACAATTAAAAAAGCCCACGAAATGCAGTCTCTGGATCAGGAATTTGATGGGAAAACCTGCTGAAGGTTGCGGAGCAATTCCTCCCTCTTCCCTCCTTCCTTCTTGCCTCCTATTTTGACTTTTACAAGATTTGTTTTAGATTTTGTAAAAGCAGCAAAGCAGAATATCTCTAGTCACGTTAAGCACAGAGAACTAAATTCTCACTGTCCATGAGCAGGTACTGAATATTTCAGGGATATTTTGAACAGTTCTACCAATAGAGAGTCCTCAGCCTAGTATATATGCTTCCACTGTGGGGCAAGGGGAGACTGTTCTTACATTTCAGATCAGTATTTACATCTATAAATGCCAATGAGCCTATGACCTTAAGACCAACGCTGTGGGATGCACTTTTCCATACTGTATCCTTGAAAACCAAATGCACAAGTCATAGTAGTACTATCTACAGAGCAAGCTTTAATAAAAAAAATGAAAGGCTTGAGAAATAAGCACCCCAAATGAGCAGGAGCCAATTGATTGGCCACAGAGACCAGAAGGATAAAGCAAACACACTTATGCTTCGTGAAGCTATTGTGATTTGGAAGGCCTGTGCTGTAAAAGAACAGATGTAAACTAGTACTTGCTCTTAGTAGTCACTGGTACTCTCCAAACCCTATCTATATAGATAGCAGCTGCCATTCTGGCATTTTCCTACCATGATGCATAGCAACAACATGTAATGGAATATTGGTGGGAAGGTTCAACCTCTACTGCTGTACCACCAGCATCTGTCTCTGACATCGTGAGCCAACATCGTAAAACAGGAGGCATTAGTTTCAGAGCAGCCCTTGTAAAATGTTAAAAATTAAAATGTTTATTATATATTTTCCTTAAAGCATTAAAAAAGAAGAAGAAAGACAAAAAAAGAGTGAGATATTTTATCTTGTTTTTGAGTTGGACATGCCTGCCATAACCACTCTGCTGGCTGGAGTCCGATTTTATCCATGAAGACATTTGCTGGCAGGGACAAGATAAAATTGCTAAGTCCCTTCCTCACGTGACTAAGCCCAGTCTCAAGTCTGTGATTGCTATTTAGCAATAGTTTTGATTGCTATTTAGCAATAGTTTTCCTGAGGGGCACTGCAAATATCTCTAGTTGGTGCGTAATTTTCAAATTAAGTATGACTTGAGTGAGACTTTGATTTCCTTTCCAGCTGATATGTTTGCAAATGAAGAGGGAGGACCAGAACCTGACTGGGTGACTACAGAGCGTGAGCAGTTCTCAGATTTCCGTGACCTGAACAAGGATGGAAAGATGGACAAGGAGGAGATTCAGCACTGGATTCTCCCACAGGACTACGATCACGCACTAGCTGAAGCCAGGCATTTGGTCTATGAATCAGATGTCGATAAGGTATGTAGAGTTCCAACATATTTTAGGAAAAACTAATATTAAGGGTTGGGTTGTTTTTTTTTTTTTTGGTTGGTTGTTGTTGGCTTGGTTCTTTTTAAAGATAGAGTCAGTTAGCAAGAAGTGATTCCTAATAATTTCATTATTAGTACGCTTTGTTTAAAGTTTTAGAGGCTAGACATGCTACTGTCTTAATGTATGAGTGCAAATGTCAGTGGGTAGGGTGAGAATCACAAGTGAATGAAACGTGGTTTGTTAGCATTAGAAATTCCATTTCATTTCGTTAGGTTAGATAAGAAACTTTATTTTCTTAAAGTTTTCTGAAAGTTTTCGTAAAACTTTCTGCAAGTTTTGCCACAGTAGAAGTTCTTTTTTTCTTCTGGGAATTGTAATGGGTTTTGTACGTTGATTCAGACTGCAAGAGGAAAATTTAAAAAAAAAAAAAAAAAGATACTACCTAGGAGGTGTCAAACAGCTCCAGCTTTTGTAATCAGACACGCATTCACTTCATTTAACATGAGAGACCAGTGGTTGTGGGGGTCCCAGATGGTGATCATCCAAGGTGTAATGCCAGCAAAGTTGGAGCCTGAAAAACCCAAACTCTTACACAGAGTGCAACTGTCTTGAACCAAACACAGAGAGATTTTTATTGTTAGGAAGACAAAAACAAACCACGTGGAAAACTACGTACCAGGTAACTCAGACTGTTTAGTAGTGAATTAATTACAAGTTAGTTTCAATTAGCAGTTTGACCGAACTGAAGCCAGAGGGACTTCATTGGGGTCAAAAAGCTCACTCACTGTGACAACTGCAGTGACTCCTGAATCTTAAGACTGGCTTTTTGCAAGTCTTTGCTGGTATCTTTTACTTAGCTTTGAAAATGTCCTTAAAGAGATTTTCTTTTCTTTCCACCAGGATCAAAAACTAACAAAAGAGGAGGTTTTAGACAACTGGAATATGTTTGTTGGAAGTCAAGCTACTAATTATGGGGAAGACCTCACAAGAAACCACGATGAACTATGATATAAGTATATCAAGCAGCATGCCACAGGCCTTTTCTCCATTTTACTGAATCTACCATGCCCATCCCTTTTTGGGGAGGATGGACAAGGGACACACTCAAAACTGAATGACTTGCGTATATTTTTAACATGGCAGTTTATTACCTCAGAAACTATGTAGAAATAGGTTTTTTTTTATTCACAAGGTTAAATGCTATATCTAATATACGGTTCTGTTTTGGGGAAAAAATGGTAATGTTTCTTAGTACGTTAGATCTGGGAAAGGCACTTAAAACATAAATCCAAGGATCTTCAAAAATAACGTTTCTTCAAGTGCCCATTTTTATCATAGTGAAATGCAGCTACGATTAGTAAGAAACCTGTTTTTTCAGTAGTCTAAGTTGTTTAGTCATCATTTCTAATAGTGTTTGAAATCATAGAATGACTTAAGTTGGAAGGGCCTTGAAGATCATCTAGTTCTAACTCCCTGCTGTGGGCTGATTGCCACCCACAGATAAGGCTGCCCAGAGCCCTATCCAGCCTGGTCTTGAATGCCTCCAGGGATCAGGCATTCTGTTCTCTGTTCTTACAGTTTACCCTCTTATACAGAGGTCTGACAAGATCCACAGCCTTTCTGTCCATTTTTCTCTCCAGGTTGGGCTGAAGGAGATACTGAGCAGACCCATGGGTTGTAGCTTTACAAGTGCAACGTGTGCAATTGGCCCTTCTCTCCAAGCCCCACTGCAGTGCAGAAGCAGCACACGTAGCCCAACACCCATGCTGGCATTCCTCAGCAAGGGTTGTGGAGTTCAGACTGACAGCTGTTCCTTCTGACAACAGAATAACGTACGTTATTTGTGGGCTCTTAGTTATGCTGTTTCCTGGAAGGAATGATGCCACATGGAGCATAATTTATCTCACGCTTTTCGCACTTTACCCAAGCCATACTCTTGTTCACACAGTGTGAATGGCAGCAGCTCCATGATGGAGAAAGAATGAGACATATCACCCCTCTGGGCCTTCTGTTTTCTGTACTACACACGGGGACAGATTCATGTGGCTGAAGTTCTAGTTTGTATGTATGTACGTATAAATATGTGTTACTGAAGCAACTACATGGAGACAGCTTTCCTTCCAAAGAAAGGGGTAAGCTTTCCACACAGGTGCTTTCTTTTTTACTGTATAATGTGAGCAGTAGTGTGTATTTTTATATACCTAACTCAGATAAGTTTGGTTGGTTTTAAATATGCTATTTTTAAAATGAGCACAATAAAACCATAACTTTTTGATACTATGAAGGTGCAATAACAGTAATACAGACCAGCGGAGAGAGATGACGTGAAGCCTCTCACGCCAAGAGTTCAGCCTGAAGCACTGGCTGGTGAGCTACAACCAGCAGCTGGACGTACGGCACCAACTTTTTCTTCTTTGCTTCATTAAAACAGCTAGAAATAAGTCACGTGTGTATTTTTACTATTGCTAGAACCTGTTCTGAATGCTAAGGTCATGTAAGAACAGTGGTTAAATACTTTCAGTTGAAGATAGCTCTGTATTACACACACTGGCAGAGATTACTTGCCTATGCTAGCATTATTAAGCTTTTAGTGTGCACCTACAGCATTGCCAGCAAGGTCTCCTAAAAGTCCCTACCTCTTCTGCTAACGTAGAGTAGGACAGATGTCATGAGACATAAACAGTTTTTGCTCTCCCAGTAATTCCATGCCAAAGTAATGCCTAAATGCAGTGTTACCTGAGAAGCAATAAAATTGTATCTTGGCACACAAAAAATTATCTGTATGGTTTATTGTTTGGATTTGGAAAGGTTTGCTGTATTGAATAGTCCTAATAATCTTGATAACTTCTGTTTTCTAGCAGCCCTTTCTTTATATTTCTTTATATTTTTCTTTATATTTTAGTACAGAATTGCTGTGCTCTCTCAGCACTTGGATCATCTTCTGTTGTTTCAGGAAACAATACCTTAAAAGACCACAGTAAAAAAGCTGCTTTCCTGCTACTAAAATTGCAGCTCAGACTGGATAGGAAGCCAAGGGTTTTCACTGGAGCCCAAGGGAAGGTTGTTTGGTAACTCTTGATGAAATTCAGTGGGAGTTGGGTGCTGAGACACTAAGCATTGTTGCCTGCAGCTAAACATGACACTTCCAAATCCACTGCGTTCTGCCCCAACAAAAAAACTGCATCTGAGCTTTGACAAGCAATCACATCTTCTTCCACGTTACTCAATGAATTTGGAATAAAATTAGCATCAACTGAGAGAAGGATTATATTCCTTTATTTGTTCTCAATCTCTATTAATGCTTGGAATATATTGGGTATTTTCCAGTATGAAATGATGCTTATGTAAATAATAGCACTGAAATCAGAGGAGTTACTTGTGGAAATTTAGGCCAATTGTATTTCATAGCTTTTTTTTTTGTATGTTTGTTTTTTACAAGAAGGGTGGTACTCAGAGTATGCCCAGCCATAAATAAGGCAAACATGCCAGTTAAAGTGAAATTCAAGTCAATCAAGTTATCAATCATTCTAGGTATAATGGAGTCACGTTAGGAGCATTTTTATGAAACAGAATACAAAAACATATTTTAAAGAACAGATCATTGATGTGATTTCATTCTAAGGGCAACTCCTTCCTGTAGCTCTTCACAGTGTTTCACTTACCAACCTTCAGCAACGCGCAGTGTATTTTGTGCACTGAATCTTCCTTTCAAGCTCAATGCACTGTGGAAGAGTAACTCCGAAAGAGACTAGAGCTTCTGGGTTTAAATTTAACACTATTTAAGGAAAGCAAACCTTTGCTAGGGGATATAACTGTTAACATTGTGATTTTTCAAGCCTAAGGTTTCTAATGGGGTTTGACTGTTCCAGAGATAAGATTTTTTTTTCCTAGGTAACATATTTCAAGTCATATTATGAGCAAATGTTACAAAATTTTAGTGTAATGTGAAATACTGTAATGTCAGATAGCATTATTTATCTGCTTAATATGACTAAAGCCATTAATTGCTGGGAGCCATGCTTCATCCCAGCAACATGAAAATTCATTTTGTGCCTATCTTGTCAGTTATTGCTGATTTTCTTAATGAATAGTGACGTAGTGAAATTCTGTCGGGAAATGTGTTTATATATTTCCAACTGCAGGTTCTGTGTGCTGACTTCCTGTTACATAGATCCTCCATTACCTAAATGTTTTCATTGTGCCTGTGCCACACCGTATCAAAGGTGCATTTTTCCTCCCTGTGTATCTGGAAAGCCATTATTATTGCACATGCAGTTTTAATTATTAGAATTTATGGAATGAACTAAGTGGCTAATGTGCATTGTCTTATATTTCCATTTAATGATTCAATCGAGTTAAATCTGTCTCCCATTCCAATCCAGGTACTTTACATAACTCCCTGTGGAATGGAGAATGCAGCTCATCCTTATCCTATTACATTTACACAAGTATCTTAAAATAGTTGCATAATGATTTACTGTCGCTATACAGAAGTCAGCCTGGGTCCCAGTGAACTTAACAGCAGAGCCCCTTGACCCTATGTAGAGGGACAAAGGCCTCGGCCACATAAAAGCAAGCACAAGAACAATGGGGTGGATGGTGGGACTTGAGGTTTCAAGAAATTTGATGACCATCAGCTCCCGATCCCCATATAATAATGCTAGGAGTTCAGATTGATTCATTCTCATATAAGGTATTCAGAGCATAAGGCTGTTTCAAGGAGGACAGTGTCTAATGGTCTGTTCAAATACATTTATCCCTTTTACTGAGTGATGATATCTCTCCTAGACAGCTGATTACCATTAGCATATGTGACCACTGGCACGTGTAACTTGTTTTGCAGGGTGGCAGAAGAGGCCACATGAAAACATTTCAAAGCCAAAGATTTTGCAAAGCCTGGCATGGCCCAAAGTCAAATACTTGGAACTAATAAGCAGTACCTCTCTCTAATTTGGGATGCTATGTTCCACTTAATATGCCTAGCAAGGAACACATAAACCAAAGTTACTAAGTTTCAAAGAAATAAAATTAGGCTTATATTTCATTTACAGGTACTAGTGAGGCCCTTCAAATCCAAGTGCTGTGTAGATTCCAAACCTGATGATTTTCAAAGCAGAAAAGAAAGAAAAGGTACCAGCTTTCCCATAGTGTGCAGGTACATAAGGGACTTAGATGCACTGACACAAAGGCAGCTTCCCAGCTGCATTCTGTCTCTCCATAGGATGAGATAAAATTTCTTTCCCAGACAGGAGCAAATTCCTCACTATGTCTGCCACAAGAGTACAACAATCATCAGGTACGTCCATTGCTGTTCCTGTTGATAACTGATGGATTTCTGTCTTCAGAACAAACGCTGGCTGTGCTTATGGCAGCAAAGTTCGGCAGCTCAGTTTCATCTACTGCACATTTATCATTTTCCTTGCCCAAACTAACGTTAGCACTTGCTAGATAAGGAAAATGCTCAAGATTGTGTCTACCAGTGTAAGAATTTATCATAAAGCATCCAAATACCTGGGTGGCTAGCATTTGCAGTTTTATAATTTAAGAGTGGGCCTCACATATGTAGTATGTGAAACCACCACGCACCTGAACAGCTATATAGACCAAGTTATGCCATGATACTAAATCTCTATGGTAATTAAGGGTGACACATACATTAGAAGTGACAGTGTTTCATCATATCAACAAAAATTTAGTTATGCATCAAGACACTTCCACAGTTAAGTGAGAAATAATTTCTTTATATGGGAGTAGCCAGGCAGTCTTCAAAAGCCCATTGGACCAAGGAGGGTACAAAAACTAGTAGAAAACGATACGTATCGCTTTTGAAGACATACCTTAAAATCCTCAGCGAGTCTGAGGATTGATGATACAAAAACATGAATTGAAAACCAAATAGCACATGTGCCACATTCTCAAAATCCAGTACAGGAGTGCCCAAGGTAAGCCATCCTCGAAGATGCTGCACTGATAACCAACGTGTGGCCAAGGTTTAGGTAAAACAGTGTTACTCAATAGCCTGTTCCAGTGTGCATTACTTTCTCCCTGCTAAGGCCATGGTTGGATTCTGAGGAAGCTTGACATCAGCCCTGAAATGGATACAGCAAAGTGTAGTTAAACAAGGAGAACAAATGGAAGAAACTAGAGGTAGTAGCATTCTATCTGTATTCATAAACAAAAAGATTACCATTAGGTTTGCAGAACACTTATGGGGAAATCTGAATGGATACAATAAACAAAGCTGGTCAAATCAAGAACGCTGAGAAAGAGCATGTCGAATTACTGCCTTTAAAATCTACTTTATT